GCTTTGACGGAGTGCGAAACGACACACAGAAAATAAATCTGTTTCATTTACATACAGCTATAACATAAATCATTTGTTTTGTTCTGCTTGCTAAACATCTTTCAGTTTATCTCTCCATCACGGGGTCAATTGATTAAGATAACGGAAAACATTGATTAAATATGTAGCAAGTTCATTCTACAATGAATTAACACAATCTCAGCCTCAAGTGAAAAATGATAACAGCATCATCTTACGAGAACTTTTATCGAAACTTATCTTTTATCACCTGTCTTTGCAGATTCACATTTGTCGCATACCAAGACATCGTTTTTAATTGAAGGGAAATCAAAATTACTAGATCTCGAAGCTCGGGGAAAAGTTTACCCGTTTCGAATACTTTGTAGGATAATTGATAAGATAGTTGAAAACGTTATACAACTTTATGAACATCGCAATTTGATTAACTATTGGACAGTTAATGGCGCCGTTGGTAATATGGATAAAACTACAAGCGATTCCCTTAGTTACGTCCAAGTATAAGGTTCTTGCTGAGTCTACGTTCAGGGATCGAAACTTTTTTCCGTTGAAGATACCATCGAAGACAGCTACGTTCGAATACGACCTCACACACCAGAGTGAGTCTGGAGTTTGCTAAACTTTTCCGAAGATATAAACGAAAGTTCATAAATCGTTATTTACTAGCCAAATCGATGCTTTGCAACAGTCGATCCATACTTGATTTAACACGATACAAATCCGTACGGATATTACGCCCGATGGATTTGCAAATCGAGCTAATAACAACTATTAATATCTATCAATATATTCGCATTAAATTTCCGAGTTTGCAAAGCACTGTCGTAGGACATTACCCCTTTTCTTCTAATCGGCACAGAGGACTGAGGACAATAAAGCTCTGCGTCCGATATTAGAGTAAGGCGTTCTTTTTGTTGGATGACCACTAGCACGAAACAATGTCTAGTTACGCCCCGTCATATGCTGAGAAGACGCATAGGCAAACACATTGAAACGGCGCCTTCCTGGGGGGGCGTCAAACTATGATAAGAGTGGAATTTTCTCTTTTTATGAACATTTACATTTTGATTGCACGTCGGGTTTTTAACCGGGGAGAAGCGACCAGCACGCAAACCTGTAGAAATAGCAAGTATTTGATGTGCTTACGGAAGGCGTCTTGCATTTCAACTCCTCTTTTGTGCTTTCATTTGTTAGTTTGTGTAAGTCAGAACGACTCCCTTTTTTGTTATAGGTAATTTGAGTTGTACTCTTACGTAGTAGCCGAATTTCAGTGGAGAACCAAGTATGACGCCTAATTTCGGGGACTGGACCTGCTTCTAGCGACACCACTATCTACTACTGATCTTAATTGCTCTTTCATACTCAGCTCCAAAAAAAGCCGAACCTTTATCTAGTAGTAGTAGTATGGACAGGTGAAGGCAAGTGATATACTGCCAGAACAAAAGACAAGCCTGGGTCATCTCTGTCGAGTCCTTTAATCTTGAAAAAAGAAAGCTTAATCTCTAACGGAGATTCTTCTTTCTTTGCATGTCCGACAGTTCCGACAATATTGGTAGTACTGACACTTTTGACGCCCCTGATACGGACTGAAGTTCAACTTCGTAATGAACAAATAGCTGACGTCGATTTCAGGCCGTTTTTTTGGACTGGTCTTGCCTTTCGTTTTAACTGTTTTTTTGTCTACTCGTGTAAATGGATCGAGAAAAAAAAATTGGGTAGCACTATCTATTACGTTCAAGCGGAAAATGTTCAGGTGCATGAGTACTAACTGGGTCAATTCCTTAACGCTATGTTATATTTTCCGGGGGACGTTTTTTACACAGGGAATCAACTCTAAATCCAAACGTACTGTTTCGTCTATGACAGAGGCAACTAGAATGCGGATAGATGCTTCTCTTTCTGAAGGGAAATCTTTTGTACAACTGCCGATCTAGAATTATCAGACGTCACACAAACAATTCGACTGGCGTATTTATTTTCCAAATCTACCTGTAAATGACAATTATTTATTTTTTTCCCGTGGGACCGTCTAGAGTTTCCTAGAACTCGATTTAAGTCGTTTTAGATTAATGAATCCTTTCGTAAATATACTTTGTGTTTGGCAGTAGCCACCAAAATGAGGTCCTCAGATAGAGCAAAAGGACAAACACTGCACCCTGGCTCCATTGCGTACTCTGGCCTTATAATAACAGTTACAGTTTATTTAGCACCTATTATTTCAGAATCAGATGGGAAATTGGCATTGTAATCATATTAATTCTGAAATTATTCCAGTTCACCTTATCCAGGCGTTCGACGGTTGGAAGAAATTTTCATTCTTGCTCTATCCCGTTGGGGTACCTGGTACTAGAATTCCACATATTACAATCATGCCATATCGGGTCTATACAGTAAAAGACTGGGTAAAAATGGGCTAAAATCTTTGGGAAACAAATTTTCAGTTGAGGTAGAGCAGGACAAAGATGTGTCAGTATATAATTATAATAATAAGTAATAAAGGCAGATACATAATCACTATTACAATGTGTGTTATTATTTTTTAATGAAAGTATCACACTACTATTTACCGTTTTTCAGTGCCATACAAATGTTCTTACACTAGCTGCAGATTACACAGATTCACTTTTTTTTTTGAGGGTAAGCTATTACGTCACAAGGAATATAAAATAACAAAATCACATGCTCCTATATATCTTTTTATTTATTTTCTGATATTCAGTATTAATTCCGGATAGTTTAGTAGTTTAATGTCAAAAAGTTTTTTCTCCAGAGCAGGATTTATCACCTATGTGTCTCCGTCCGCACTGAAGTAATTTAGCTGTACTGTTTAGCATCATGCGATAGCATTATATTTGCTATCCTAACCATTGGAACAAGATCATGTTTTCGATCATTCTGTACAAGTTATCAATTTGAATTCAAAAACATTATAGAAGTTTTTGCAATTATCTGCGTATATGTCAAAAGTTCCCCAAAACTATACTTGAACATTCCCCATTTTAGGCTCAAAGCTATGTTTTATATTTTAGCACAACTTGAATTTCTGCTGCTGTTTTTCACTCACCGTAGTTTAACTCAGTCGGACGTTTCTCCCAGTTCAGGCACTGGAACACATCGATTTCTAGCAGTCCTAATTACTAAATTCCCATCGGTCTCTGCTCTACCTGTCTTCCCTACTTGACAGATTAGTCGCATAGCAACGAAAAAAAAGACTATGTAATAGAGAGGAGGCAGGTAGTGCAGACACGATCTCTGGCAGTATAATCTACACATGACACCTGCAGCCTTTATAGATCTCTGCGGAGAAAGCCCGCGATATCAGTGACGGCTGCTGCAGCTACTGCCTCTACCTTAGTAGGATTGGCGGTCACGTCCTAGCAGGATTAAAGCCTGGAACAGCTTCAAACGGGTCTCCGTAGAAAAATGGCAAAAGTCGACATAAGCTAGCAAAACATAGCTCCAATATTTACGGGCAGCTCCCGTCACAGCCGTAGCAGCGACAAGGTATAATGGATGAAAAGAGAACGCGCAGCGATGACTCGAAAGCGAGGAAAGGTTAGAGATGCAGAGGTAAATAGAATGAAAAAGGCGGACCGACAAGAAACGCTTTTGCTACCAGTGCTGCTATAGAAAGCGATGCGGATGACAGCGACATAAAAGAACACTAAGTGCAGGCAGGCGTCACGCTGGCTAAAATCGGGTCACGTAAAACGAAATAGCAGAATAGGCGCGGGAGAATGCGGACGAGGGGATAAGAACTAAGGTGAGTGATTTCAGATGGGTGGAAGCGGTTCTAGGTAACAAGTGAAGAGTTTACAAGCTCTTCTACAAGCTATCTGCTGCTAATCATCACCAGTACGGTGGCATCTTACTAACGTAACCGTCGTCGCCACCGCCATCGCCATCGCCGCTAACAATCGTCGGTGCTTTTAAATGTCCAAACATCAGAAGAAAAAGAAGGATTTTTCGAAACGCAAAAAGCAGCAACCCCAGCCACTTCAGGATTTGGGCAAATCCGGGATTATCTTTACCACCAGTAACAGTAGAATTAGGCGTAACTACAAATCATTAATAGCTTGATGCTGTGTTTGGGTATGAGGATAAGAAGAAGTAAGCATTAGAGCTATTCTAGGCGTAGTTCATCGCGATATAATTAGGTATGTTCGGTCTTCGCTATACGAGATAATGAAATTATACCTTGGAAGTATACGATAACTTACGCAAAACGTGAAAGTATAGCGCCACTCGACATGTATTTTGCGTTGAAGTTGGTCTAAGATACATGCGACCACCAGAAGAGAAGGTACTCTGTCGCTTCTGTCAGGCCTAATGCGATCACGGTATTGGCAAGGTACCCTGATTGCATAATACATACGTGGAAAGCTACAAAATATATGTATCGTTTCCTGTGAGCGATATTGCAATGACCATATTTAAACATAGTGCCACTGGTAGTTTTGTCCCTTCCATCCTGTATTGAAAAAAAAAAAACAAGTAACTCCATAGGCCCCGTCGTAGACTCATCAACAATCCAAATTATTGCTAAATATTTTAACTTGTCTATGTGCGAAGTAGCGATATAGTTCGATACGGATAGTAATAATAGATAATGCACAGCTTAATTTTGTGCGATACTTTTTTTTTTTTAGCAAAACAAATACGGTTACGTAACAATTCCTACCTGCAGGGTACTATTCACATAATATCTAAACGGCTATCAAGTTGAAATATTCATAATCTACAGAAAAACAAGTTAATTGTGTTGTACAGCACAAAATCCGACCCCCACTTGATAAAAAAATACCACCGGTGCGCGACTGCAGCAATAGCAGATCCGTTGAACGGATCAGTTTGGTTTTTATTAAAGCTTACACCTAGGCCTAGTTAGGATATCCCATCGTTCATAGCTATTTCGTTGCTGCTAAGAAGTTCGACCCACCGTAAAATCGTGTACGTTGTTAAGAAGATCGCAGCGGCCTGGCCTTTCTACTCTTCTGCTCAATTAAAGTAAGTTTTTCGGATAGAAGTATATATAAGCGCCATACCTGAGACCTTCTCACCGAAACAAATCTAATGGGCTACGGCCCAGCAACCCACAATCTAAGCTCCAAAAAATTGCTTTAGTAAAGACTGTTAAGAATCAAACTGGGGTGGGTCTTTGTTTCAGTAGACGAGTAAATAAAATAAGCATTGCGAGTTCTACATCAAGGCTTTGTTTCAGACGACTGACGCCTCCTATTGGAAGACGAAACGGGCCTACGTTAGATATCCCACCGTTTGCATCTAATCTTAGCAAACAAACACGTTACCGCTACACAATAATAATAACGATCATCGAATCTCTGTCTGTGCTTTTCGTGTTAAATTATTAAACCCTTGACGCGAGATATTACTTCTAATCTTAATACTAATATTAATTAACTATTCTGTAAAGATGTTTTTATTGCGTTTATTCGGTAAGAACTGACGTTTTACTCTTTGATTGCAGGTTCCGTTTGCTAAGCACACGCCTATAACGCTTTGTGTTCATTTTTGGCGGCAATTCATAACAACAAGCAGATTTATCTGAAGCAATGTGTTCAGCCATCATAGCCATTATAGCCGCTACTTTGACCAATGGTGGACATGCGGCTTGAAAGTCCACAGGTCCGGCTGACCCTCATGTAGGTTATTTAATCCCGATTTTGACCACTGAAAGGGCGGCAATGGGTCGTACGTGGGTCCGCAAACTGACAGGAACTCGAGATTTTTGAAAAGGTTGATATTTGTAACTTTGGCATCGGTACCACCATGGGAGCGATGCGCAAGGGCCATAAACGGATATGTTCCATTTGGTAGGTTGAGATCGTTACGGGCCGAAATAGCGTTTTCGGCAGAGTATGGAGGACTGCAATTGCACTTGGAGAACTCGTCATGATAGAAGTCGTTGTATCTAGAACAAGATAGATAAGTATAAAGCTTGTGAAAACGTTTACATAAATTCATTGAGACTTGATCCAAGCAATCGTAAACAAATTAAAAAAAAAAGTTTTGAGTATTTACTTGAGTAAAAACATTTTTGTTGAGTATTACGAGATAACAAAGAATTCTATGTGAACTGAATATTGTTATGCGAAAAAATTTAAGGTACAAGGACATCTATGCCGAAGCATAACTCGAACTTATATCTCAGGTCAACTCATTATCCCTGTCATGGTAGCGTCTTGAAGGCACTGTAACGTCAATAAATTAATCGTTTCATAGCAGTATCATAGGATTTCTATCATAGGGTATGATCCGAATACGAATTACATGATACAGTATGCCAGTTCGAACACAGGACTGGACTTCTGTTTCAAAAGGTTCGACTCCTAACCTTTATCATCAGTGCTCTATTATACAATTTGAATACGAGGCCTTCACATTCAGCTAACCTCATGAGCTTCATCATCGAGTCTATGTCCTTTACTTTAACGTGATCTCTGCGAAAGATGTTGGCGCGCGGGTGACGATCATAAGTGAACCAGTCACCAAACCTTTTGACGCTTTCTTCCCAGCCGCTTGCATCGTAGATCTCCTTATAAAACCTGCAATGAAATAAATTTAATAGATTATCTCCATTTCTTTTTCTTTTTCGAACCAAAGAAGTACTTAGATGACTGTCATTTACTAAAACGCTGGGTACGTTTTTTGATATATAGTTTATTTTTATCATAGAACTGAACTTTATGACTCACGGAATGTTGTAGCTGGGCCAATAGCCCTGGTTATTAAGTACGCTGGACTGATCCGCGAATTTTACCATTCCTCTGTAATCCATTCATAAGTAATAATTCGAGTTCAGTTTCTGATATTGTAGAATATTAATATTGCGTTACCCGGTGCACAACAACTCCTCAGCATCCTTCTATACCAATTAAAGTAAATATTGATTTTCATATGGTTACATGAAAAGTTCCATGCAAGTTTAAAACGAAAAAATGTATTCTTGTTAAGCCAGGATGTAGCCGTTGGTAAATAGGCTGCAGAAGTTGAAAGTAAAGGAGTGCACGGCTGAGTTTTTATCCACAAAACTGCACTATTGAAGTGGGTAAACAAAGGCGCTCAGGGAACGTTTTGTATTTCCATAAAAAAGATGGCCCTCTTCTACGTCCAACAGCAGGCGTCCAGGTAAATGTGATGTTTACAGAAATAACCGACAGGTCAGTGACACACTTTAAACTCCGGACGTTCGATTGATGTATCTAAATTGTACAATAGGGAAAGACTATCTGCTTGTCGTCTACTGACGGGATTTCTTCAAGGACGGTCAGGGTTCCAGGTTGAATAGGCTGTCCGGGAGCGAATTTCTTGTAGTCGACAATCATCCATTGGTTGTTGTAGCTGGAACAATATGCAGAAGCTAGCCGTTAGCGCAACTCGAAGAAAAGCAACAAAGACACCCATTAGAGACACATTTCTTTTCACATATGTTGCCAAAGATCTTTTCTCTAGCGTAATAAACAGTACAGCTAGAATACATATATGGAACTGAATTGTTTAGCACCTTCCGCTGCGCTCGCGCTGGAAATATCTGGACCATTCATCCCCTGTAGTAGCAAGACGATTGGCAACAATGGTCCTTAACCATTCGAGGTTGCATTTGGGAGTGATTTTTGACCAGAGTGCAGGATTTGAGTTGCCGATTGTAGTTTCCATGCTCACCTAAAGAAATTGCGAAACTGATAAGTAAAATTAAAGCAAAACACAGTATTTGAATTTATTGTTCCAACGTACAGTCCCATATCGTAAACTTTACGTACGAAAAAAGTATTCCAGACTTATCCACCTGGAACGGGCAATACGAACGACGTAGGAAACGTCGTACTCCAGAAGCATCCAATCAGTGTGTGTCATACGGCAAGGCCATATCGTATAAACAAAATGTTGGGCAATAGTCAGTCTCTGTGACTACCGTTTTGCTTTGCATGACAAAATTTATCTATGGAAAATCAGGTACTAAATTATATTCCATGAGAGTGCATGATTAGTTCATAAAAAGCAGTCAACTGTTATTAACTAACGAGTCCTGAAGAAATCAGGTGATAGTCGTCTCCAGAGAAGATTCTTCCGGGGCTTGACGAGAATGTCATTGTGGATCCAGGAATTTGCCTGTCTGAAACGCCTATCTTCGTTAGTGAAAACTGTTCTCGATTCTCTGCAGGCTTATAACAACTAATATATATATATATATATATATATATATATATATATATTATATATATATATATATATATTTTGTAATAATACACATGTAGCGCCTTCGCAATACTCACCTCCAAAAAATACCTGCGTATAGTTCAAGCTGTATTTCTTAAGGATTCGAAGCATTCCTGAATAGTCGTTCCAGGTGACGTGTGAGACAAGCAAGTCTGAGTTGTCGGATAGCATCTTTACTAAGGCCGAGCAGTGGCCTCCTCCATGAACGCGTCGCAATTTTGGGGACCTTAGAGCTTGCTCGAGGTCCTCAAGGTCTCCATCGACATTTAAAAATCTAGCGGTAATTGCACCAGGCACAAAGGCAAAACGCAGGCCATTTCTTATCAGCCACCTGTTCGCTACTTTTATTATAAGCAACCAACTACAGATGTTTTAAGAACAGAGGAGATTATGTCTGTCGTTGAATTCATATATCAGCTAATAAAGAATAGCAAATCAGAGGTCAAAGTGATGATACTACACTATAATGATTTCTTACATTTAAAATCTTTGTGTGGAGTTTTTACCAATGATATATTTTTTTAAACTACACATATTTACCGTTGCTCAAGTTTTATCACTTTTATCCTGATAGCTTTTTAAAAGAATATTAGTATTCTATTCAATTTACGTTTGCGCTATGCTTATAGCATGAAGCAGCTGCCTCAGCAAGAAGGACTCAGGCTCAATAAGAAGTTTTAAGCATCTGCTCGAAAGAGATTATGGCGACTGTGACAAAACTAAGATGTTCTTTTTTTTTGTTTTTTTTTTTTTGTCTATATAACATAGAACTGGTTTTTTTTTAAAGGAAATTAATAATTAAACAGTACTAGCAAACAATGATGTTGACCGTCTTTGTTTTCGGAGCAAAATTCTTCGAAGTGGGCCGGACTGCTGCAAACCAACTTACAATAGAGGCGTTATGTGGGTGTAGCCATCAAAGTGGGGTGAGTAACGCTCGCCTTCTACTGCGCTCCACGCATCCTGGATTCCACTGAGTTGTATAAGAGCCAATTCGGTCTGCAATTGATCATATCCATATGAAATGATTCGTAAGGTATATTTGTGAAAAGTACATATCGAAAATGCCGCCACCTGGTGGGTCTGGCACTCTCACTTCGCTCCGCAATATCAGAGTCGGTTAGAGCTCTCCTAGTCGCCATGTGATCGCGGTACTTTCTCGGTATTATACGTATACGTAATATACGTACTGCTATGATGATTTTAAAACGTTTGTGCGACTGTAACAATATATGAGTTTGCTGGATTTGTAACTTGTTAGCGTCAAGCCGGACTGACGTTAGGTCGTAAGTATACTGATAGCTGCATCAGTCAGGGGAAGTTTGAGTCTCTGCTCTTGTTATCAAAGAAAAGACACACGTTGTATGTAAAAACCATCGCAGTTATAGGAGCAAAAAATGGTAGGTATAGCTTGCTGTTTTTCGCCAGGCTACGCATACCATTTTAGGAGAATAACTCGTACCAGGCTAAACGATCTGTTTCTGAATAGCTATTTGAACCAAATACACTTTTTTTTTAGCGTTGAGCTAATAAACTTCACGTTAAAACGAATGCCGGTACAAAAGTCTTCTAAACAATTATAATAACAAAGTTTTTTTAAATATGGATGTTTCTTGTCTTGAAAAACAACGTCTAGTGTACGCTATACATTTTACTACGAAATAGAACTATCTAAATATAGCAAAGCAGTACCCACCTGGAACCAATAAGGCTCCTTTTCTCGATACTGTTTGATATTCCGGTTAATGTAGTCAAGGTTCTTCTGAAGGAAAACGTAAAGCTTCAAACAGTAGTATGTTTGTCCTTTGCAGTAGTCTCGCATTGTATTATTATAATGCATTGAAATTAGGGTTCTTGTTAGGTAACCCTCAAGGATCCCAGCGGCGTACGCTTGATACTGACTCGGAAATACCTGGCTGGTGTAGATCTCGAGGTATCCAAAACTGTGCAGAGATAATTTTATACGATTATAATCGAAATGGGCATTTTCTAGCAATTGAAAACTCTGTCAGCAATGTTTACATAAATGAAATTTCTCATAAAATCATAGCACGTACAAACGATCATAGAAATGTTGGTTCATGACAAGTGTAGATTACAGAAACACTACTAGACTTTGATTTACATCAGTCTCCACAGGGCAATGATTACTATATATTTTCCTCTTTACAAATTATATCGTGTAAATGCTAGCCCATTTTACAGCCATGTCTAATTAATTTCTTTTCAAAATAAACAAACTAGAAAGGTTATACGACTGTATATACACTGTAAGAAATAATGCTAATAGGAGCTCTTGTAACCAGTAAAGCAAGCAATCTAATCAGATTTTACAAGTACGCGACTGACCCTGTGTCCGTAATCCGGTTGTCAAAGCTTCCCCAAGCGATCGCATCTCCTCGATTGGGTCCAATTTTCACCTCAAACCTTTGGGGTACAACACTGAGTGTGATGTGTGCCTCTTGTCGGGCGCACCGCCCCACAGACAGCAAGGTGACAAGCACCCCTGCTGTCAGCACACGGATCATCATGCCTAAAAGACTCAAACGCCACTGAGTTAAATTTTTCGTCGAAACGAGCTATGACCACTTTCCGAATAAGCATTGATGTCTCTTATTGGTCCGATTGTTATTGGATAGATGGATCCTTTCGAATACATAAATAAACGTATTCGAAAATGTTTGTTAAGCTGTTAGGTACCGGTTTCTAGAAGTCTAGTCGCAGGCTTCATGCCACGGACACCTGCTCACGAACTAAACTTTGTTCCGTTGTGCTATAACTTCTTCCCATAGAACGTGACTAAGTAAGTTCGATTTTTTGCGTGCTTTTCATTGCACGAAGGGTTTGAATTAAAGGGAAAAAAGTTGCTAGCTATTAGTTCAGAACGCAAAAAAGGCTACGTCAAGAATCACTAGCGTTGATACACAATATGAACTTCAGCGTTCCTGAGCCTCTGGCTTAGGCTTGTGGACTACATTATATTATATGTGTGTCATTTATTTATCATAGTGCTTCATAATGTAGAACATGAACAATGCAGGCAGTTAGTGCAGTTGCGTACTGAGCAATTTTTTCTGTAGGAACATGATTTATTATTGTCGGTCTATTATTATTATTATTACTGATGAGAAAAAATAGGTAACGTCAAGCAACTATTCAGCTACACTGCCGTACCACTCACCCTGCTGGATACCTCTATTTCTGTTTGTTGGCTAGAGCACCGTCCTCGCGATCCCTCGGTAACAACTGCGTCCCAGCGTCGCGAGCAATTCCTTGTTCCTTTCGAGCCACCCACCGTCAAGCCACGCCGGCTTCCAATTTACCTTATATACTGACCGGCTAGAAAGATAGCGCGTATCAACTCCGCTACGAACAGAGAGGGTACAAGTGGAGCAAATGGGAATTGGCTTGTTGCGAAACGCATTTTTTTACTCGGAGAATTTCGCTCACTGGTGATCCTACGTACGATAATCGTAAAAATGATGATAATAGAGAAGTTGTTAATCAATCCTTTGTATGATTGTTTGTATTGATACTGCTCCGTCCAGCCTGCCTCTACCCTTACCCTATCTATGGCCAGGCACAGGATTAGCAAAAATCGAATTATCTCGTTTCGTTGTCGGACTGATATGAGCCTTTGATGCGATGGCGGCGATGATTGATCGCATCGTCGAGAGGTATCTAGGGAATCGGGTCGAGCTTGAAACAGTAATTTTAATAATGGCCGATCGAGGAAATAAGCACTAAATGTTTACTAGTAATATAACATTATATTATTCAGTTAATTGAAAAACAGTATTGTTCTATCGTTATCGCTTCCGTGTGTTATACAATCCACCTTTAATTCGGGTAATTTAGTAGCAAATATACAAGGTTTACATATTCCGCGTTATTCTATAGTTTGTTTGACGTATTCGTGACGTTGTTCGATATTACCCAGAAACTAGGTAAAGTATACGCGCAGCTTCCTTAAAGCTGTTCTATTACCTTTAATCTTAAATATCCATTTAATAGCTAGCCACTAACTATTTTACAATACACCGATGGCTACTAGAGGCCAATTTACCAATCTCTTTTATTCAACCAGTTATTATGGTTAGAAATTTGTTTGCTATTTTTTCATTGCACGTTTCGTCTAGAGTCCAAACGTCATAATATATATATATAAACAAAGCACTAGATTTCGATTGTTTTTTGGGGGGTTATTCATAGATTTTATACAATATATATTTTTTGATGATACAGTGACAAACATATTATCACTTTAGGCCTGAGTGGTCAAAGCGGAAGTTACTTTTACTATTGATGCGTTTATGAGAGCTTTGAGCCTTTTTTTCATTGCCCATTTGCCTTTGTAATCTCGCATTCTTCTTTCCTTTCGAAAGAGTTAT